TCATTGCTCTTCAGTACTCTTGAGAGGTCCCTCACAACTGACTTTCCCAATGCAATTCATCTCCTGATTTCCTGGCTGCTGTTACCAAGAGTGTTGACTGTGGAGCCAAGTAAACTAAAACTGTTAACTATCTCAATTTGTTCACCATCCATACTGATACTGCCAGTTGGCCCAGTGGTGAGAATCTTTGTTTTCATGATGTTGAGCTTCAATCCATATTGGAGGCTGCAGTCCTTGACCTGCAGCAAGCGCTTCAGGTCCTACTCAATTTCAGTGAGCAGGGTTGTGTCATCTGCATTACTCAGGTTTTTGATGATTCTTCCACCAATCCTGATGCCACATTCCTCCTTATACAGCCTAGCGTCTCGGATGATCTGTTCTGTATACAGATCGAAAAGGTATGGAGACAAAATACATCCCTGACGGACCCCTTTCTTGATTTTGAACCATCCAGTGTCTCCCTGCTCTGTTCTGACAACTGCCTCTTGGTCCAAGTGTAGGTTTCGCATTAACACGATCAAATGTTCTGGGATTCCCATTCTTCTCAGAGTCAGCCATAGCTTGTTGTGATCCACACAGTCAAAAGCCTTTGCATAGTCAATGAAGCACAGATAGACATTCTTCTAGTACTCTCTGCTTTCTGCCAAGGTCCATCTGACATTAGCTATAATATCCCTAGTACCGTGACCTCTTCTAAATCCAGCCTGCACATCTGGCAGTTCTCGGTTGACATATTGTTCCAAATGTTTTTGGGTAATTTTCAGCAGAATCTTGCTTGCATGTGATATCAATGATATTGTTCGTTTGGAATGGGAACAAATATCGATCTCTTCAAGTCAGTTGACCTGCTGGCTGTCCTCCAGATTTCCTGGCACAACTTAGTAAGCACATCCAGGGCAACGAACGGATAACATTAACCTTTGATAATTTGGAGAGGTCCCTAATTGCTGATTTTCCCAATGCAGTATGTATCCTAAACACATGCCTGATTGTATCAAGGGTGTTGATTATGGACCCATGTAAGATGAAGTCATTAACAATTACAAGCTTTTCTCCATTTGTCATGATGTTGCCTACAGGTCCAGTGGTGAAAATTTTTGCTTTTTAGCATTGAAATGCAATCCATATTGAATTGCATAGTCTTGTATTAAATCAAAGTCTGTGGTCTTTGATCTCCTGGAGCAAGCTCTTCAAGCTTTCCTCACGTTCAGCAAACCCAATGGTCAATCAGTTGCATGTTGATTTCAACTCTCTAACAGTAAGTTTATACCTATGTCTGTAAATGCATGCTCATGTACTTGTTGTTGTTCTTAGGTAACATCAAGTCACATATGACTCAGTGACCCTATAAACAGCAGATCTGAACCTTGTTATATCCTGTGACATCTTTATACTTCTTGACACACTAGAACTCATTGTGACAGTCACCGTGTCAATCTACCTGGTGTCCTTATCCAAGAAATAGCCCTTCCTGGCAACTTGCCCAAATATGTAAGGCGAAGCCTTATCATCTTTGCCTCCAAAGAGCACTCAGATGGCACCCTTTTCAAGACAAATATATTTTACTTTTTTTCAGTCCATGTTCAGTGCTATTCTACAAGACCACATTTCAAAAGCATCAATTCTTCTTCTGTCATTGCTGTTTACTGTTCACCTCTCAGATGTATAGCGAGTGATCAGAAAGACCATTGTCTGAATCAGGATGCACCATAGTCCTCAAACTGACATCATTACTCCTCAATAATTTGCTGTAGACTTTCCCAATGCAATATGTCTCCTAATTTCCTGACTGCTGGTATCAAGGATGTTAATTATGGATCCAAGTAAGATCCATCATGATGCTGCCTATTGGTTCAATAGTAAGAATCTGTGTATCTGTGTTTTCTTGACACCGAGAGGCAATCCATATCATAGGCTGCATTCCTTGATCTTCTGCAACAAGTGTTTCAAGTTCTCCTCACTTTCAGAAAGCAAGGTTGTATCATTTGCATAACACACGTTATTGATGATTGTCCCTCTGATCTGATGCAGCATTCCTCTTCTTAGAGTCCAGCTTCTAGAATAATTTGCTCAGCATACAGATTGAATAGGCCTGGAGAGAGAATACAACCCTGACAACATTCCCTTTCTAATTTAAACCATACAGTGTTTCGCTGCTCTGTCCGCACAACAGCAGTGATTTCTGTTGCTCTGCTCTGCTCTGTTCCTGGTCCAGGCATAGATTTCACATGAGCACAAGTAAGTGTTCTGAGATTTTTATTCTTCTCAATGTCAGTCACAACTTGTTATGATCCACAAATCCTTTGCATAGTCAATAAAGCACGAATAGCCATTCTTCTGGTATTCTCTACTTTCAGCCAGGATCCATCTAACATCAGCAATATCCCTAGTGCCACAGGCTCTTCTAAATTCTACTTGAAGTGGCAGTTCCCTATCTATGTACTATTCAAGCTGGTTTTGAATGTTCTTCAGCAGTGTTTTCCTTGCATGTGATATTAATGATACTGTTCAATAGGTTCTATATCCTGTGGATCACCTTTCTTGGGAAGGAGAGCAAATATGGACCTCTTCCAATCTGTTGGACAACCATCCATCCTCCAAATTTCCTAAAACAGACTGGTGAGCCCAGGGCTGCATCTGTTAATTGAAACAAGTCAACTGGTCCCCCATTTTCTCCTGGGGCCTTGTTTTTTACCAATGCCTTCAATGAAGCTTTCATTTCCTCCTTCATTACCTTTAACTCCTGCTCTTATGGTACTTGGTGAAATTTTTTAGTGTCAGTCAGTTCTTTTTTGGTAGAGTGATTCTGTGTATTTCCTCCATCTTCTTTCGATGCTTCCTGGGTCATTCAACATATTGCCCATAGCATCTTTCAATATTGTGACTCAAGGTTTAGATCTGTTTTTCAGTTCTTTCAGCTTGAGAAACATAGAGCTAGTGCTTCTCTTTTCAGTCTCCAATTCTTGCTCTCTGTACATTCCATTATAGTATTACATTGTATGCTCAAGCTGCCGTTTGAAATCTTCTGTTCAGCTCTTTTACTTTAACATGTTTTCCCTTTGTTTTGTAAGGTAAGTTGTCTTTAATTAACAATCAGTTGTAAGCTGATGGCTGCTTTGAATTATCAATATTGCATTTGTGAGCTAGAAGGTGTTGCTACTTTTCTGAAGCAGCTGGATACCCGGAGGTAAATTGTCTTGATTTAATTAACAATGAGTTGTAAGCTGATTGGTGGGTTTTATCTAGAGTATGTATCTGTACTGATAAATTTTGTCTCACTCTCATTTGCACAAGAGGACACTGTTCACTTTGCTCCTGCAGAACAGGTGGATGTAAACAACCATTTTTTCATTGTTGTTTTGGGTTTTGTTGTTGTTGTTGTTGTGTGCCATGGAGTGAGATTGGACTGGCACAGGAGGAGACTGCCCATCCTTCTTCAGCAGAGCATCTGGAGGATTAGAACCATGCACCTTCAGGATTGTAATGCAGTTTCTTGCCACTAAGTCACCAGAGCTTCCTACAAACAGCCTGTCTTTGGATTTGCAGCACAGCTCCTTATCAACCAGGCCACCAGAGGATAGAATTATAAATTTGGGTGCATAGGCAACATATTCTCAAGAAAGATAAATCATAATTTAAAAGAGTGGAAATAATATTCCAGGTCCATAATTGGAGTGTTTTTATACTAAACTATGTTTTGTTTTTAAAGTTTAGCCTCTGGATTTCATAAATGATTAAGCACTCAACTAGAAAGCAAAAAAAAAGGTACCTTGGAAGAAAGATCTGGCAATATGCTTCTAAAAAATCATAGCCTTTGGCAAACTTTGAAATGCAGTTTTCCTCTGAAACATATGGACTCAGCATAGGTCAGATGAACTCAACAGAAAATGGTGGTGCCTTTGAAAAGAAATTCTGGTCCAGTCCTCCTAACAGGTTGAATCCACATCTTTCATCTTTCATTTGTAGCACATTCTTGCACTGCCATTAGAGGGAGTAGTTGGATTATCTAAACCATCTTGTTCTTTCTTTCTCTAGGCCAAAGAAGAGTCCGAAAGAATCAACAGAGGTGACACAGGACTTGAACACCCCAACAGATTAAATATTTTCTTCCAATAGACACATAGCAAACAGGTACTTGATTTTTAAAGTCTCTGTGTTTGTCAGAAGGAGGTGTAGTTGTGCAGAGGTTAAAGAGCTCAATTGCTAACTAGAACGTTGAAAGTTTGAAAGATGTGACAATCTGATTCTGTAATGAAATTTACAATCTTACTGTCCTATGGGGACAGTGCTATCAGTTTTAGTTGGCAGAGATGGGTTTAGGTCTTGGTACATTTCAAATGTAACTTTTAACCTTCAAAAAAAATTTATACATTTGTATCAGCAACAACCACTCTAAGAAGTGAGTGGGTGTAGATATTTTTTAACTGTAAAATCCATTTTCATGAGTTAGTGGGTTCAAATGAAGCTGTGTAATATTGATGCCTGTTTTAATTCACTAAGCACACTCATTCAAGAACCCACCAGCCGCAGCAACTACTGACTAATTGCTTTCATTTGCATTTTTCCTGATTATTAATAAGCATGATCCTAACTTTATGTATTTGTTAGCCACTCAGATTTCTCTCTCTGAAGTTCTTGTCTACATATTTTCATGCGATTTTCTATTGGCGGTCTATATCTGCTAGATTCTTTACTGTCTAGATATTGACTTACTTTTCTAATTTGTCATTACTCTATGTTTTTAATCGATATATTAATGGAAGTTTATACAGAACTTGGATTTCCATTCATTCATTGTTGATGGGCTGGAAAATGGTTCAATGCGGAGGGCCTCAAATGTGTCATCTGATGGGAAGGCCAACCTCACTGTGGCCAGAGCATGGAGTCTGGCTATCTGACTGGTGAAGCCACACTCGCCTAGCGTCTTGGCGTCCTTCAAGAGCTGGCTGTCCCTGTACAGACTCTGCTCCTTGGGTGGCTGCTTAAGGATGACTTTGGCGATGAGCTTCAGCTCTCACACGGTGCTTGATTCCTTGGTAAAGGAGCCTTCCATCAGTGATGATGGTGATTTTGTGACACTGAATCACCAGAAACACGTCCATCGAGGCGGTGCCTCTGCTCTCGACACGCTGGCGCTGCCATGCTCGCCTCATTCTAGTTATCCTTCTGTTATTACAATAATGGTCTTAGACAGTATTTGTCCTTAGGAGACAGTTCACTCAGCCTACTTTTTGATAAGTAGTTAAACACTTAACCTACTTTGCTGCTAGGGCTCCCTCTTATATCCATTATTTTGATATTTTTCTACTTCATATTCACATCTTTAGTTTTTTTTATACAACTGAAGACTAGTGGATATCTTTATTTTTTTACTATGCGATGGGCTACTAACATTGTAATTATTTATCCTTTCTATATATCTCTTTTGTTTGTGTTTCATTTTTCATAATTTTAGTGACAATTTACAAAGATATTAGTTTAGGGGGTTTTTTAATCATGCATAAATATTTTCCTCCCTCACCCTCCCACAATTCACTTTGTAATGCTTGTCCTGCCTCAGCTTGTTAATTGTCATATATACAGGAAGCACTATTGGCTTAGTGGTAAACTGCACTGTAATCCCAAAGCCACTAGTTTGAATCTTCCCACTGCTCCTTGGGAGAAAGGTGGGCAATGTCCTATGCTAATTACTGCTTCTGAAAACCTGCTGAAAGGTCAGCTGTAAGTCTGTCCTAACTCAACAGCACACAGCAACAACAACAATGTAATGTTTAATCATTTGTTTCTTCATATTGTCCTTCATTTCACCTATTCCAGGGCAGTGTTCATTATCCATCCATTCTTTTCCTTTTGTTTCCTACCACCACCACCATATCTATCCTATTTTTATAACAGTGGTCTTGAGCAGTATTTGTCCTTTTGTGACTATACTATTTCACTTAGCTTTATGTCTTCTAGACTCATCCATGTTGTATGGTGTTTTATAATAAGTTTGACATTTTTCAATTCTTGGTAACATTCTATCACGTAGATGTACCATTTTCTCTAACTATTGGATTGGTGCTACATACTTGGGCTGCTTCCATCTTTTTGCTATTGTGAATAAGGCTGCAATAAACACGGCTGTGCATACGTCTTTTTGTGTCACAGCTCTGAATTCCTTAGGGTATTTGCCTAGTAGTGATACAGCTAAGTCAACTGGTACTTCTAATTTCAACTCTTTTAGGAGGCATGCAGTTCAAATATGCCTGCTGTTCCATGGGAGAAAGTGTATTCAACTGCCTCTCAAAACCTACTGTAGGATTGAGCTATGAGTCACTTCTGACTTGAAGGTACATAACATCACCAAATACCCAATTGTGTTCAAGCAGGATGTTGTTTAGCTTCCAGTGCATAGGTTTTTTGTTTCTCCCCTTTGTCCTCTTATTGTTAATTTCTAATTTAATGTCATTGTGGTTTGAGAAATTGCTTTGTAGTATTTTTTAAAAAAAATTTAAGGCTTGCTTTTTGACCTAAGAAATAATTTATTCTAGAGAATAGAGTCGATGCATGCTGGAAAAGAATGTATATAGAACTTTTGTTAGGGTTACCCTGTATGTCTATGAAGTCAAGTTAGTTAACCATATAGTTTAGTTCTTCTGCATCTTTGTTGAACTCCTGTCTAGTCATCTAATCTTTTCCTTTTGAGGATAATATCGAAATCTCCTACTATTACCGTGTTGTCTGTTTCTTTTAATGTTTGTCTTGCGTAATTTTAGTTCTATAATTAGCTGGAGGATTGGCCTAGTAGCAAGAAGCTCCACTGCAATCCCAAAGGCATGCAGTTCCAATCCAGCAGTTGATCTGTGGGCAGAGGATGGGAATCTCCTCCCTCCTGCAATTAATTGTCTCTATGTCTTCTTCTTTTATTGATCCTTTAAGCATTATATAGTGACTTGCTTTTTTATGCATATTTTTTACCTTGAAGTTTATTTTATCAGATTATATTGCTACTCCTGCTTTTTTAAAATTGCCATTTGCTTGTTATATTTTTTCCCCCCATCTTTGATTTTTGGTCTATCTTTATCTTTGCTTCTTAAGTTGGTCTCTGAGAGACTGAATATTGATGGGGTGTTTTGGGTTTTTTTCCTCAATCTGTTAATCTTTTTCTCTTCATTGGTATATTTAAACCATTACTCTTGATGGTGTCCCACATTATTCTTAGGCCTTCTTAATTTTCGTTCCTTTTTAGTTCTGCTTTTTTTCTCTAGCAGATGAGGGTTGAGAGTTCTATCTTCTGATTCACTGATTCTACAATCGCTTCAGTTCTGTTCATTGCCACTTCAACACTCTGACAGCTTCTGAAATGTTGATTGTCTTATTGTTGATTGCTGCTTCTTGTTTTTTCTGTGGTTTCTCTTTTTATTCTTAAATTTTATTAATTTTAATGACCATTTACAGAGATTTTGGGTTTTCATTCATTCATTGTTGCACTATTTTCTCTACCCTCCTCCCCAGTTCATTCCTCTTTTTTCCCCCCCTTGAAAGTCTGTTTTAATTGTCCAATTGCCACAGTGCTTGTCAAAGCCAGTTCTGATTGATCTCCTTTGTCAGTGTGTCCTTTGCCATTCCCTATCACTCCTCCCTGAGAGAGACTTCACCCTGATTCATAAGGAAAAGGGGGTGGCATATTCTCTTAGCCACTTCCTACTGAAAAGGGACGCTGTAGGTTTCAGGGTAAAGATCTTCTCTCACTACTCTAAAGGGCCCATTTGGCAATAGGAAACACGTAGACTATTATGGAGATTGATTTTGGAATTTAGACGCACTGTTATCAATTGTGTTTAGCCGTACATGTTCATATCCTTGAAGATGTATCATGGAAGTGTTGTAGCCTAGAAGACACAGATTTAACTAACAAGTTAAAAGTACATGAGTAAAAAATTAAAAAGCAATAATATTCCAAGTAGAGGCTCTAATAGTGGCACAAATCAAGTTATAGAGGGAAGGTAGTGCTTATAATAAAAGGCCTATTGACTAGCACTTTGTCTATTATAGTATAAAGGTTAGGAACCAAAAAGATGTAGAGGTTCAACTATGTCATTTATTGTTCTTAAGTCCTGGAGCAAATTCCATCTACCACTGGGTTGTTTTACAGCTCGAAAGTCCACATGCAAGGCAGAGGTGAAGTAAGGAACTGCTTATGTGGTTTTCTGTCAATTCCAGCAACTAAGAAATAGTGAGAAGAGTTGGACCTCAGAAGGCTTTTAGGACCAAATAGTAGGCTCTTGTGTCCAAGAGAAAACAAATATACTTACCAGTAATGTTAATACTCACCCACAGCTCTTCTGGGAGGATCTAAATCGTTGAACTGTCCTGGGGTTATTTTGGAATTAATGAGGAGAACCTGAAGCACTTGCTGTGGAGGGTCAAGGACTGTAGCCTTCAATGTGGATTGAAACTCAACATTAAGAAAACAAAGATACTCACCATTGGGCCATTTGGCAGCATCATGATAGATGATGAAGAAATTGATATTGTTGACAGGTTTAGTTTGCTTGGCTCTACAGTCAACACTCTTGGTACCAGCAGCCAGGAAATTAAAAGACTAATTGCATTTGGGAAAGTCTCCTGCCAGAGACCTCTCTAAGGTTCTGAGGAGCAATGATGTCAGTCTGGAGACTAAGGTGCACCTGATACAGGCCATGGTCTTTGCAATCACTTGCTATGCATCAGAGAGCTGGACAATGACTAGGGATGATAGAAGGAGAGTTGGTGCCTTTGAGCTTTAGTGCTAGAGAAGAGTATTGAACATACCAGGCTGGGGCCTGTCAGTTTTTCTGTTGTTTCTACTGCTTCATTGTGTGTTTTTGTTTGTTGTTTTATTTTTGGTTTTGGTTTTGTTTTTTTTTCTCTCCTGCTTTATCTTCTATTGCTTTTTAAAAATTCCTCTAGAGTCTTGCTTGTAGCTTCTTCAAAGTCTTTGTATTTTTCTTTCATCTAGTGAAAACACTTAATCCTTGTTCTTTTGAATCTTGTGTCAGGGAGTTCCTTCAGTCTTTCCTTGTTAAGGATACCCATTGACTCTGTGTTTTGATCACTTTTTTTGGGTGACATCTCACTTTGGTTTTGTGTGATGTTTAAAATACTCCATCCATTTCATTTATTCTATGTCATTGGAATGACAGTATTTTTTGGCTGGAGTCATCCCTGGTTCTAGGTCAGATAATTCTCCCTGCCTGGAATCCTCTCTGGCCCTGGGGCAGGTAAGTCAACTCAACTGGCCTGGAGTCCTCTCTGATCTCATGGTGGGCTGAAAGACTCACCCTGTCAAGAGTCCTCACTGGTCCTAGGGTGGGCAAGGCTTCCAGATATCTTACAGCTTCTTCCTTAAATAATTTTCCTGTTTTTACTAGAATACTTCTGTCAAAAACATACTTTAATGGAAATTTGTTTACATATGATATATATGCTTGAGAATATTTTTTTTACCTCACCCTCTGATTTTACAATAATTTGCTTCTAAAATCTAGGAGAGAGACTGTGAATAGATTTAAAAAAATAACCGAAGCTCAATAAAGTATCTGTGCTATTTCCTCTATGAAGACTATATTTGCAAAATTAAAAAAAAATAAAGCCAGATAAGTAGAAATTTTTATAAAAGACAGAATGAAATTATTTTTCTTCAACATTTTGAAAATTTTGTCTTCTTGTGTTCAGCCTCCTTTAATCTGTTTTATGTCATTGTGATTATGATCTGCTCTTGTCATCCTTGAGGCTTTTGGAGTTTTAACTTTTTTTTTTTTTCATTTTCTTTCTTCCTAATACCACTATAATATGTCTCTAAGCAGACTTTTTCATATGTGTCCTGTTTGGCACACCATGAAGTCCTTCAGTATGTGTGTTTCATGCTTCTGGTTTTTTGCTTTGTTTCATTAATTCAGTCATTATTTTATTAGATATTAACAGCCTCTGAAAAAGCAGTTGCATGAGGTTGTTGTTGTTGTTATTGTTAAGTACCTTTGAGTCACAGGCTACTCATAGTGACCCTATGAAGGAGAGTCCTCAAGGCTTGGGTGCCTTTCATCCTCTCTCCAGGTTCATAGGGTTTCTGGAGGCAAGCTACTATGAAGTGGATGGCATTCCTCTTTCCAAGCTTGTTTCAATTGGGGAGCTCCACCCCACTCTC